CATACGAAGAGAAAACTATGTGGTATCGCCCTTACCCAGTAGTCGGCGAACGCATTAGTCAGCAGAGCCAAACATCAACAGTACAATGATTGAAATTTCTTTTGAGAGCCAATTTTTTTAAACTTAAACTATATAGGTAGGTACATTGTTATTAACTTAATTAGGGTACTCCTAAGCTGGCCTTTGCTAAAAAACGTTCTCAATCTGATTGAGGCATGTGGCTCTCGAGCTGCAGTTTGCCAACCACAGCTCTAACCAGTTTGGCTCAATGGACAGAGCGTCGGCCTTCGGACTGAAGGGTCCCAGGTTTGATTCTAGTCAAGGGCATGTACCTTGGTTGCGGGCACATATCCAGTAAGGAGTGTGCAGGAGGCAGCTGATAGATGTTTCTGACTCTCTATCTCTCTCCCTCTCTGTAAAAAAATCAATAAAATATATTTAAAAAACAACAACTATGTGGTATGTACAACAGAGGTTCAAAATCCAGTATGTGTGAAGCAGTCTACAGATAATCAAAGACAACATACAACATAAAAGTGGGCAAACAATCCAAACTAACCCAGTAGAAACCTTATGAATGATTAGTAGTAAGCTTTGAAAAGATAACTCAGCCTTACTAATTTTTAAGGATATGCAAATTTTAAAATATCACATTATCCCCTCACCAGAGTGGCGAAAAGTAAAAAGATTAATGATACTATTTAGTGTTGGCAAGTGTGTGGTGGTAACACTCTTGTATATTGCTGATAGAGTATGAATTGTCACAGTCTTTCTTGCAGGGCAATTTGACAAGATCAGAACTTAATATGTGCATATTTAGGTTCTAATTCTAGGAATCTATCCTACAGAAATACACATACTGTATATTCAAACACACATTTGTACAAAGATAATTGCCGAAAAGCATTGTTGTAACCTAAATGTCCATCAATAAGACACTCTCTCTATAATTATAATCTATTCATACTCTGTGTGAGAGTGAAGTAATGAAAGATGTGATGACAATTTAAGTAAAAATAGAACATTTTGGCTTGGGCAGTGTGACAGTGGTTGAGCTTGTGAACCAGGATGTCACAGTTCGATTCTGTGGTCAGGGCACAGATCTGGGTTGTAGGCTCGATCCCCAATTGAGTGTGTGCAGGAGGCAGCCAACCAATGGTTCTCTCTTATCATTGATGTTTCTATCTTTCTCTCCCTTCTCTGAAATTAAAAAAATAAATAAATATATATATAAATATATATATATCTTTATATATATATATATATATATTTATTTATTTATTTATAAAAGAACATTTTGTATAGTATGATCCCAATTGTATAAAAACAAAAAACAACCTTATATATATGACTATATGTTTAATATTATATTTATGCTTGTCTTGTTTATACACAGAAAGCTATGGATTATCACATTAAATGACTACTAGGAGGTGGGGAAAGATAGATTAGAAGCTAGAGCTATTGTTTTATTTTATACTAGTGACCCAATGCATGGATTCGTGTACATTGAAAGGAAATTAATTAGAAGGAGGCTGGCAGGGCAGACTGGGCAAGATGGGCCAGACACACCTGAGAGCCAACCTCCTGGGGTGCCTTCCTGGCCGGAGGCACCTGGGGCAGTGACTGGGCTTGAAGGATATTTGTGACGGAGTGAGCAGGGTCCCTCCGACAGATGGTGTCTCTAGGCCTGGCCTGCAGGGATTGGGCCAAAACCGGCTCTCCAACATCCCCCGAGGGGTCCTGGAGTGCGAGAGGACACTCTGCAAAGTTGTTGTCATATAGGATATAGCACACAAATGCAAGTGTGCAGTAAACCAGATTCAGGCTGACAGTGCCCCTGCAACAATATAACCCAGGGCCGAAAGTGGAATCCCATGTCTCTCCTCTCTGGCGGCAGGGTGCATTACCCAAGAACCATTGCTGCCAAACCACTGCAGTTCAGCAGGTCCTGCATTGAGCATCTGCCCTCTGGTGGTCAGTGTGCATCGTACCTACTGGGTGGTCAGCCAGTTGCTTAGCCATATATATATATATATATATATATATATATATATATATATATATATATATAATCTTATATTAAAATTTGTTACACAATCCTAAATTGTTGTAATAAAAAATGTAAAATAAAATTTCTTTAAATAGAGCACAGGGGTTGATGGCAGTCTAAAGTCATACTAGTATAAGTGTGACTTCCTGGCAGTACAAATCATTCTGTGCCTGGGCGGAGAAAGAGGCTGCCTAGGCCCCTGGAGTGATTATGAGTTCTGCAATCAAGAGTGCTCACCACACTGCTATATATACCTTGGGTTACTTAATCTTGGTGAGTCTGTTCCTCGTGGGTAACACAGACATCACTCATGCCTGTGCTTATTCTGCAGAGTGGCACGTGCCATGTTCTCATAGCAGATCTGGTTCCCCAAATTGGGGAAGACTCAGATAAATGCTTAGCAACCGGAGGGTGAGGAGGAGGCAGATTTGCTGTGCCTGCCACTTTCTATGATGTAAATATTCCCACCATGTTTCAAACTCCCGGTGGAGCCTGCTCCGGCACCCTATCAAAAGGGTATCTAGTCCGATCTCCCACCCAGTGTTTGGGCCATCTCTCCGCACTCATGGAAAAATGGGCAAGACCTGCCTCTACAAAGTGTCTTCCTCCATAAGGGTGCATTTTTCTGGGGTCTCACAAGATGCTTCCTCCCATGCCAGCCCTTCGGAGGTGTAAAGTCCTCTCTTTGACTTTTACTTGAATATTTTCTCCTCCAAATCTTTGGAACTCACCTCAGCCTTGACTCTGAGCTCCCCTTACCCCACCTCCACCCATATCCCCTGCCCCTGATGTGCCTTTAAAGTATGCTACCACTGCGGACCCCACCCCCATCCCCTCAGCAATTTGCTGAGACTGCAGTTCAAATAGCCTGGTCCTTGGGCCCAGGGTAACTGGCAGCAGCAAGAGGGTGACCAGGACTGTGTCAGTGGCAAGGAAGGGCAGCTTGAGGGTACACACTGGCTGGGCTCACCGAGGAGGAAGGCACAGATTCCAAACGGTGACTTCCCATGTCCTCTGTGCTCTCCCATGTCTGGAGTTTGGCAAAAAGGTGTCCTTGTAAGCCTCCTCCTCCTCCCCATTCAGATCACTCAGTTGTTTCAAACCAGGGCATCCTCCTACAGGCCAGACTGAGTCAGCACCCTCGTTGTTAAAGGACACTGAGGAGCAGGGTTGGAATGCAGGGCACCGCCCTCAGTCAGCCCAGGTCTACACACAGCAGAATCCCAGGCCATTGCTCTCCGCTGCAAGTGACTCACTCCTTTCCCGCCTCTGGCCTGGCAGCACTTCTCAGCCCGGAGCCCTGCCCCTGCCCATCTGCCAAAAGTGAGTGCAGCTCAGTTTCTGGGGAGTAAGGAAGTCTGAGTTGATCACACACACACACACACACACACACACACCCCACATCACACACATACACACACCACACACATACACACACACACACACACACACACACACACACACACACCACTTAAATATAAAAACCCTAGAACTCTTGGGCCTGCTGTGCTCTGACATTCCCACTGCCCTTCTCTTCTTATCCCACTGGCACCAACCAGGATTCACTCTTCTGTCCTGTTTGTGTTGAGTGAGGTGCCATTTCTGCTGACAGGTGAGGGGGTGGTGGTGAGGGAGACCAGTGAGCAGGGAGAGATGAGCATTCTGAAACAGGCAAGTCTCCCCACTCCCCTGGGCTCTTTCACTAATCCCAGTGCCTGCCCTCCCCGCTCCCGTGCCTTGGAAAATGCAATTTGTATCCACTTTAAAAAGTAATGGGATTTACGATCTTGGGAGTGAATTTTGTCCTTGAGAAGAGGCTATCTAGGGAGCACAAGGCTTCTTGCCTCTCAAGAAGGCTCACGACTCTGCCTTATCCACCTATATCCTACAGGTCTAGACCTGCTCCCTCCGGGAAGGGCCCTAACAGTTCTGGTTTCAGGAGGCTCGACACTCCTGCTATTTAAGTCCTTCGGGAGTATGAGTGCCATCTCCCAAAGTAGACTGGCCATACCCAGAGGGCAAGACGGTGCCTCACACCTCTCTGAATCCCTCCAAAGAGGCTGACCATTCTGGGAATATTGAGTCTTCAATAAATAATCATTCATCCATTTCTCCATTTCTCCATCTAATTCATTTAGCCATCCATCTCCATCTATCCATTCATCTGTCCATCCTTCTGTTCATTTGTCCATCTATCTCCATTCATCCACCCACTCATCATCCTTCTCTCTGTCCATCTGTCCAGAACACATGCACGATATGCCCTCTATGCATCAGCATTGTGTAAGGTTGGTGATAGAGGCAGTTACTGTCTCCATGGGACTTGTGTAGTGGGGGATGGATAGGTAAGATCAACTAGATTATTTTTATTAATACATAATGCCTAGCAATCATAGGGCACTCTGCAATTTACAAAATGCCATCATAGCCCAGTGAATTCCCGAGGCAAGCTGAGACTAGAACCCAGGTCTGTCTGACTCTGTTCACTGGCTCGCCCAGCATTGCAGAGCTGTGCTAAGAGAAACACTTATGATTTAGAACAAGAAGAGCACTTTCCTACTCCTGATGAGACCCTTTGGATGAGATGGCTCCATCCCGGAAGATACCCTGCTGATGTGTCAAGGGGACTCCTGGTGCTAGCGGGACTCAGCCCTCTCTAAAGACTCCGGTTTCTCATGTTCTTCCTCTGATTGTGCAAGCAGCTGCATCGGCCCGTGCAGAGCCCCTAGCTGGGCCCCAGTTCTCTGGGCTGGGCTAAGAGTCTTTTCTGCCTGGCTCATTGCCATACCCTGGGAGTTTCCCCTGCATGAGGGTCGTTGAGCTGGATCTAAGCCCTCAGCTGCCAGATTCTAAGATGCATCCTTGTATCCCCTGTCTCCACTCCTTCCCACCAAAACACAAATACCTCCGGGAGTTGCTGGGACAGACAAAAGAAGCAAAAACAAACCTTCCAAGGCACTTACAGCTGTGGCCGCTTAGCATCCGGCCTCTGAGGACAGGCGGGAGTTCTCGCTGAATCTGAGGGGTCTCCTCTTAGATCAACAGTCTCAGCCAGGTCAGAGAGAAAAGCCTTTGGGAGCAAAAAGGAGTTTGTTGAGACCACGCCAGTTCCTTCTGAGTTTTCCTCCTCTCCCTGTCATGCACAGACTTGGGAAAGTTGCAAAAGAGGCTGGGCCCAGTGACCTCAGCTGTGTGGGTGGAGGGGGTGGAGTAGAATGGCAAAGCTAGGCTTCAGAGCTGCCTGGGTTTGGGCCCTGTGAGAATTCAGTCTTTAGGGACTCTGCTCCAGGGGGATGGAGGGTGAGGGGGAATGATGAGAAATGGAAGGCCTGAGGGTGAAAGTCTATGGGTCGGTGGACTTGGAAGATAACATGCCACGTGGGCACCATAAACAGGCTCGGGCTGGCTTTACAACTTCTGCTTCTGCTGTTGGGAGCCAGCCAGCAAAGGGCCCTTTTGTTTGTTGAAGTGTTAGACTCACATGTGTAATAGGTTTGGTCCCTCCACTTGCCTGGCCAGGAGAGATCCTGATGCTTTGCTGTGTATGCACACCACCTCATGCCATATCACCACAACACACACACACACACACACACACACACACACACACACCCCAGACATATGGGAGGCAAGTCCTGACATCTTCCTGGGCTTCTCAGATGTGGACATGTGACCCAACCTGAAGTAGTGAGGAGACGAAAGCAATTTAAAATGCTGTCAGTGTGCGATGAATTTTGGTATCTCCGTAAGCTGCCTGGTACCATGCTTTGGTAACCATGGTTGGCAGACATGTTAAACAAAGTCAAAAAGAGTCTAGAGGCTTTGGTTAGAGATAAATGACAAAGATTTATTCAAAGGTCCTAAGGTTTGCAAACTGGAAACACAACGAGGCAATGCCCAGAGTGTTCCAAAGAAGAAAGAAAGTCTAACAGTTCTTACAGGACAGAGCACATTCTGGAGAAGAACCAGTCCTACAGTCTCAGCCTCTGATTGGTCTGAGAGGACAATCTTCTAGATGACCAGTGGTCTGGAGAATGGATGTCAGGTAGGTGCGTGAACAGTCTTTCCTTAGTTCTCCAAGGGGAATCAGAGGGTTCTCTAGAGCAGTGTTTTTCAACCTTTTTTGGGCAAAGGCACACTTGTTTCATGAAAAAAATCATGAGGCACACCACCATTAGAAAATGTTAAAAAATTTAACTCTGTGCCTATATTGACTATATATAAAGTAATTCTCTGGAATAGGAATCAAATAAACACAAAGAAAGTATTTTATAATTACTTTATTATGAAATATTAAGTAAACAAAATAGTGAAAAATTATAAAATTCTTGTCTTGTCTGCACCTACGGCACACCAGGCAACATCTCGCGGCACACTAGTGTGCCGCGGAACAGCGGTTGAAAAACGCTGCTCTAGAGGTTTTATGTATATCCAGGCATTGACAAAGGATTAGAAAGTTTAAGGTGCCAGGTTGTTAAAACAAAATGGCATGGTTTCCTCCTGCCTCAACCTGCTTGGTTTTAGTTAATTAAGCAGCTTGACTATCATGACTCCGTTCTATTTTTCCACTCGATTCCTTAGATAAAAGGGGAATAAAGTGGGTTTAGACATACCCAAATGAAGTGGGTCACTAGATCTCAAGGGGTCTCCCTACCGCTCCATTCAATTGATGTACCATTCCATCCCCCATTCCTTCTGAGATGGGATTTTTCCTCTTTGGTGGCCCATTCCTTTGTTTAATAATCTTAACTGCCAAAATGTTTTTCCTTGTGTCCAATACAAGTCTCTGATGTTGCTGCATTGATACAGTCTATGTTGGTCTTGTCATTCCTCCAATGTAGAGCTAGTAACCTCAAACCCCACACTCAGTCACAGTGCCAGCCAGGTACAGCCTTGGCGTGGAGTTTTTGATGGAGCAAAAGCTCCAGTTGAAGGTCATTTTCTTGTTCCAGTTAGCAAATATGCCTTTGTGTGAAGTGTAATATTGGACTTTGATATTTAATAATATTCCACTGAAGTTGGAAAAACTCCAGAGCATGTTTCCTTCCCCAAAATATTCTTTGTTGCTTACTTGGATAAGGGTGCATTGGTCCACCCTCAAGACAGCCCCTGATTGATGCTTGCTGAATTGTTCTTAAATTGTTGTCCTTTCTAATCCCTGACCATCATTCTTCTACTTTTCTGAAAACAGGTTTTAAACAATGTGTGTGTGTGTGTGTGTGTGTGTGTGTGTGTGTGTGAGAGAGAGAGAGAGAGAGAGAGAGAGAGAGAGAGAGAGAGAGAGAGAGATTGAGACCTCAGTTCTTGTTTTCTTGAAGAAAAAATTTAGTTAAGAGACAAGTACCGCAAAGCAAGCAAGAATTTATTGGCTGCAGCAAAAACACACTTGGGACAGGGAAACAAGGAAGGGGAAGCGAGCTATGGTCAGCGAGTCCTTGCAGCCTCTGAACACAGGACGACATTCATACCTTTAGGGGATGTTTGAAGAAGGATCATGATCACCTTTGGCAGCAAAATCACCAACCATCTTTAGGCTCTAGTCCCCACTTCCTCGTCCACGTGGATCAAGAGTCGGCAGCTTCCCTTTTCTTGCTCTGACATGTGCTCCAGGGGAGAATGACGAGCAGCCTCTAGCCTGCGGGGGAGGCCCTGACGCTGCACTCACTGAATGTCCTTCCTCCCTTCCTCTTCCTTCCCCCTGCATGCAGTCTGTAATTCTCCGAGTCTGTCCCTTGGGGAACACAAGTGGATATTTGCAAGTAAGGCATGGTGCGAGTCATGGGATAAGGAATGTGGTGTGTGATGGCATAAGAAAGGGTGGTGGGGATTTACATGACTCCTAGAGGAGGAAATGGCTTTATGGAAAGGAGGGATTGGAATCCGAGCTTGAAGGATGCAAGGATCTGAACCTGTGCAGGTGCGTGGGAAGGGGAGGTGGGAGCCGGGTGCGATATAAGAAGTGATCTGGGGTGTAGAGAGGAGATGCTGCATCTCTGCTCGGCAGAAAAGACTGTGCACAAGGCAGGCTCCCAGGCAGGGCAGACCACCTCCCAGCATGCATCCCGCGGGGCTGACACTTCAATCTGCTTTTTCTTGGCACTGTGTCTAACATGCCTTCAATATAATCTTTTTCCCTGGTCAAGGAGCCTGCAAGAAGGGAGCCAACGGGGAGGAAACTGGTCCAGGCCTGCACTGGGCTGGTGGTCTCCCAAAGGCCTTTGCTTCCCAGCAGCTTTCTGGACAGACCAGGAATATGAATCAGAAGTGCAGGGATTAAATGCCCACAGGCAAGGCTCTGACCAACTTAGGAGAAAAAGAAACCAGCAGGTAGAAGTTCAAACTTGCCCTGTACCCCACACCCTTGCCATTAGACGGTTCTGAGCTGTACACACCCTCCTGGCCTCGCTGGAGATGTCCTGGGCACTGAGCAACAGCTGTGTTTATTGCAAAGCTGTAGTCAGCTTGGAAATGCATCTCCTTGTACTTATTCCCCCCCTCTCTCCCTCACTTCCCCTTCCCCATCTCTTGTTTCCTTTGAATTGAACTTCCTAATAAAATGTAAGCTTCTGACTCAGGCCTTTGACAAATTTCCCCTTAAAGAACTGGGACCCAGAGAAAGCTCAGTCAATATTTGTTAGGTAAATGAATGCGGGGCAGGACTGACCTCCACTTAGCTAGTGTAGGGCAAGAAACAAAGCTAGAGGAGTTATTTGGAAAATTGCATAGCTTTGCAATGACTGTTTAGAAATGTCAACAGGAAGGTTGCCTCCATAGACTAGAGGCACCTCATCTCCTAGGTGTGAGAGGGGTAGGGGATAGAGAGAGGAGACAAATGAGGCGGAACTTGAGACACTCACGTTTAAAAAGCAGGAGAGCCTGGCCAAGTGTGGCTCAGTGGCTGAGGGTGACCTATGAACCAGGAGGTCTCAGTTTGATTCCTGATCAGGGCACATACCTGGGTTGCAGGCTCGATCCCCAGTAGGGGGCATGCAGGAGGCATCTGATCAATAATTCTCTGTCATCATTGATGTTTCTATCTCTCTCTCCCTCTTCCTTCCTTTCTGAAATTAATATAAACTATTATTATTATTTTTTTTTTAAAAGAAGCAGGAGAAAGGAAAAGATCCCAGGCGGAGGGCTGTGAGACAGAAACTGCTGGTGTTCATCAAAGCCTCTTCCCCCTGGATGGCATTTCCAGCCCCTGTAGATGGGCGTGACCATGGACCATGATTCCTGAGCAGATAGAATGGTGAACGAGACAGAGCTCCTGCCCGCATGGAGCTCAAGTCGAATAGGTGTAGAGGAAGTGTCCTGCCCGGTACCTGGCACGGTAAAGCCTCTCGCAGGAGCTGCCTCGCTCCCAGTCTGTAGGACATAACAAACAACTCTGAGGTCCCAGGGGATGTGGGAACCACAAGACAGAAGGGCCCAGGTCTTTGAATCACGTGATTCTTCAACTGAACGTTTCATGAATGATAAATAAACACTTATTGTTCAAACCACGGTGATTTGGGGGTTTATCTGGCACAGTAGTTAGTACCAGATACATCATAACCTGGCACGTGTTGAGAATACAAGAAGCAGATGTTGAAGCTGAGGAGTAGTGTGGAGAGCGGCTACAGTCTTTGGATAGGTTTAAGCCTCGGATTGATGAGAGGACACATCTTCTCATGGCAAAGCCCTTCCAGCACAATTATAGCCAAAGGCTATGGTTGGAAGCTGGACCTTATGGTCCGAACCTGTGGTCCAGGTGGATGAGTGGTGTGGGCTGTGGGAGGTGCAGCAAGTGCTGCCAAAACAAAGCTTGATAGAGCTGTCAGGTGCATGTAATCAAGAAGATTCAAAACTTGAGAGAACATTGTAAACATCTTTACCACACCCTTGCTTGCCTCATAGGATCTGACTATAAAATAAAGACTCGGCTTACAGCTCTGTCACTGTCTCTCCATCCGAGATCAGTGATCCACCCGGCCCCCAACTGTATTCTCTTGTCTGTCTTCTTTAATCCTTCACCGCCCCTCCTCAGGTTCACCCCTGGCCGTGCTGGACGTGGTTCAAGTGGGAACTTGTTATGGTCCTGAGGTCTGGACTTGTAGTTCCAAGTCCTTGACACAGCCCAGGTAGGTGGGGTATGTCATTCCCCCTATCCTTTTCTCTATCCT